ACTGGGGGAAGTCTGGGGCAGAGCAGCTGGGGTGCTGACGGGTTGGTCCCACAGTGCCAAGGGGCAGCGCTACGGGACCAAACCAGCAGCACCCCATCTGCTCTGCCAGGGGCAGAGCAGCTCCAATTGTCCGGCGGCCTGGAGCACTTCCGGGTTCCAGATGGTGCCAGACCATCAGGAGTGCTGGAGCATTGGATGCCGGACCAATGGAGTTTTACTGTATTTCTTAAGCTGTAAACTCTTCAGGGCAGCGACTGTGCCTTTTTAGTGTATATGCAACACACCCAGCACCATATGGGCTTAGATACAAATGTCCCAATTAGAATTGACAGCTAAATAATATTAGACAATTGCATTTTAAAAGTAACTGTGTTAGAGCAACTTGTGTGAAGTTGATGGTTAATAAGAAGTAGAGCTGTCAAGTGATGTGCGTTAGTGCCTGTGATTAACACCGGACGGGATTAACGCATAATCCTCCTAATGAGCTGCCCCTTTGGAGTCGCCAGGGAAGCATTTCCAAGGGGCAGCACAACGTGGAGCCCGGGATCAGCTGGAGTGTCCAGCTGATCCTCAGCTCCATGTTGCACTGCCCCTTTGAAGTGCTGCTCCAGTGCTCCATGAAGCTCAGGGTCTGCTGAGAACTCCAGCTGATCCCAGGGTCCTAATGCGTTGCCCCTTTGAAGTGCCGGGGCAGCACTTGAGAAGGGCAATGCTGTACGGAGCCAGGGTCAGCTGGGAATTCCAGCTCACCCCGGGCTCCTGCAGTGCTGCCCCTTGGAAATGCCTCCATTGTGTTTCAGAGGGGCAGCTACACTAAGCCTGGGGTAGCTGCCCCTTTGAAATGCCACCGCCGGATTCAAAGGGGCAGCGTGCGTGATTAAAGTTTTTAATATCACAATTAATTTTTTTAATTGCTTGACAGCCCTAATAAGGTGGTGTTGGACAAAGTCAAACTGATTATTATGCTCCATAGAGAGACAATGTAGTAGCTATCAAATCCTTTTTCCTGCCTTTTGAAGTTGAGAGAAACTGGCTGAGTAAGACCCTGCCACACGTTCAAAGGTTAAAAAGGAAGAGCCTTTGAGTCGATGCTGCCAGAGCTTATCTTGTGCAGATAGTTCCTCTGACATCAATGGCACCATTCCCTTGTGTATGGATTCCCAGATTTATTGGTGCATATATATTATGCTGCAAATGCTGGTGCTAACTTGGCACACACAACTGGCAGGTTCAATGGTCACACTGTTTTATGGTTACAATGCTGTGTACAAATACTCAGATCATGCTGAAGTTAAACATTTAGCCAAATGTATCATGTAATAAAGCTGTAAAAAAATATATATATATATACGAGAGCACTTCCAGATCACACTGCAGATCCACATAACACAAGGACAAAAAAAACAAACTAGAGGCAGTTTCTGAGGATTCAAATGCCTGGGCGTGATACTGCCCAGCATCACGCATCAGAGGCATGAGGAACATTCAGCCGCCATAGTTTAAAGCCAGAGACCTCTGGTTATTTAAAAAAAAGTTTTTGGCACGTTGGGGGGAAAAAAACCTGCACATATCAGGGCAAAAAATATCTAGTGGGTTGAAATCTGTGGGCACATTTTTTAGAACTCAAATATATATCTTAGGACATGTCTACACAGCAGAGCTTAAGCTAAAATAAGCTACACAACTTGAGTTACATCAACTGCGTAGCTTAAATAGAAATCGCTTATTTTGGCACAATCTATCCAGCAGAAAGTCTGAGAGCGCGCACTCTTCCTCTGACTTCCCTTTCTCCTTGTACAATGAGGGTAACAGGAGTTGGAGTAAGAAGTCCTCCAGCTCAACATTATATTGAAATAACTGCTTGTTGCGTAGACATTAACTATGTTATTTCAAAATAACATCAGTTATTCCGAAATAACACTGCTGTGTAGACGTACCCTTAGTATTCTAAAAATGCTTAGTGCTTTAGACCTCTGTCATGACCTGGCTGGAGAGCCCATTAAAGGGGAATGGAGTTCTGCCTTGTCTGTGAGGTAGCAGTTAACTCCCTGATGATCTTTGCAGTCCTGCGCAGACACAAAATCTGTATCTGCATCGGTGTCCACCAAAATAAGCTTCGGATGCCTGCGGATCTGTGGATTTGCAAGGCTCCAATGATCTTGATTTGGAGACGTAATGACAGCTGCTGATCCCCGCTGTGAATGAAAGCGTCCAAGACAACTACACAGAACAGAGAAGAACTCAGTGAAGGGAGCTTCCTGGTGGTGAGAGGGAATGGATCAAGGCAGGGTTCCAGTAAGGAGAGTGAGTGAGGAAGCCTGCTGGCATGAGGAGCCTTCAGGGGAAGAGCCCTGATGGCAGTGCTAGGCTTAAGAAACAGAAGAACACTGCAGAGCCTGAAAGTAGGGGCAAAGAACCGTTTGCTTAGATACTTCTTTCAGTTTGTCTTTTCATTACCCAGAAGGTGATGGAACTTAAAGGTAACTGGGCTGGGCCACAGAAGATTCAGACAAAACAGGCCAGGCAATTGAAGTGCCAAAGTGATGACCTGATGATGCTAAAAATGAAGATTCATGCAATATCCTGCTCCAATACAAAATTAGTACATGCATCCACAAAAGTAAACTGTGGATATTCCCTTCTATCCGTGGCTGCAGGTACCCTGTGGATTCACAGGGTTCTACTGATAGCCTGGAGTGCTATGAGGAGTGAAACAATTTATAGCATCCTACTGGATTGCAAAAGGTTCTGTATCCTGCACATATTGCTCCCAAGTAACAGGTCAGTCCAGATCCCACGAGTGGTGGGATGCGAGTTAGGGCTGTCATTCAACAATATCCACTCACTGAACTGTAACATCATCAGACGGTTCTGAGTTGTCAGTACTCTGCTGAATACCAAACTCCTTTTTTTTAAGTGCAAGTGCACGTAGCTTGGCCCTTACACACGTTTTGCAGTGGGAATAAATTCCTTACCTGGTTGTTGGCAGGCTTGTATTTTAACCCAGGCTTGTTCAAGATTCTCTCAATCTGTTTGTGGTTAAAGTTGGAGATTCCAATGGCTTTCACTAGACCTGCATCCACCAGCTCTTCCATAGCCTATGGGAACAAAGTAATCTGGTCACATACAGGAGCTGGTACTACTGCCAGCTTAGCCTTTTTCCTTTTACAAAAGTAACCAATAAACTCCTTGGGTGGTCAGACTAGATGATCTAGTGATCTCTTTTGGCCTCAAAAATCTTCGCATCTATGAATTAACTGTTTATACTAAGCATGCCTGTTTCCCAGAGTCCGTCCCACCCATGATTCCCCATGAGAGACAAGTCTCATCCTTTTAGTACACTGTCTTTTTGTCATCTTATAGGAACAAAGAGGAAGTGCATAGACTTAAGCCTCAGCCTACACTGGCACCCCCCACACACACACACACACAATGCTCAGCTTACTGTGATGGGGAAAATGGCACTCAGAGCCACTAAGTCACATAGGCTGTGAGTATCAGCAACAGACACAGAATCATGCCACTCAAATGGAATAAAAAGGTAGACAGCACTCAAAGAACACTGGGGTACCCTGAATTCCTACTAATGCAAAGATCTTGTGAGCAGCCAAATGCATCTCTCCAGACTAATATGCACAATACTGCAGGCTCCACCATTACTGGTGTGCAGCCTTCTATTCAACTCCTGGGCTATGTCTAGACTGGCATGATTTTTTGCAAATGCTTTTAACGGAAAAGCTTTTCCGTTAAAAGCATTTGCAAAAAATCATGCCAGTCTAGACATAGCCCAGGAGTTGAATAGAAGGCTGCACACCAGTAATGGTGGAGCCTGCAGTAAGCCCCAGTCGCCATTTTCATGATCCGGGCTTTTTTGCACAAAACAAATCTCAGCTGTCTACACTGGCCCTTTTGTACAAAAGGACTTTTGCCCGAATGGAAGCAGCATAGTATTTCTGCAAGAAGCACGGATTTCTTACATGAGATCATCAGTGTTCTTGCAGAAATTCAAGCGGCCAGTGTAGACAGCTGGCAAGTTTTTCCACAAAAGCAGCTGCTTTTGCGGAAAAACTTGCCAGTCCAGACACAGCCCTGGTGTATAAGCACAAAGAATGTAAGGGTTTTTTTACCTCCCAGGTGTCCAAAAGATCAGTGTCACTAGAGACAATCATACCACTGTCATCTACAGGATGTGTCTCCTCCCCAGCCTGTCAGAAGACAAAGTTTAAAGAGATTTGTTTTCAGGGCTGAAATGCCCAAATTCTACCAGAAAGTCAAACAGGACACATAGGCCCAAGTTCAACAAGGTATTTAAGCACATGAAAAGCTTTAAGTCAGTGGTACTACTCTTGCACTTATAATTATGCACACATTTAAGTTCCTTGATAAATCAGGGCCATGCAGCATATGGTGACTTGAATGGGAGCTAATGGAGGGAAAACAGTAAACTTTGTTCAAGTAATTAGCTTAATAAGGCCAAAGAGAGGACAGGGTAGGGCCTCATTCCTTATGTAACAAGTTTCGTTACAGCCCTAGTATTCACTCCTAAAAACTATAGTTAACACTGACTTGCTTCATCTCCCATTGATTGGCACCCTAAAATAGACCAATGACTCCCAAAACAAGAATCCATACAACACTGTCCCAACTTACTGAAGGCCATGACTTGACTGATTGGAGTTCCCCCAAGGAGCAATGGTTTTGTTCCTATTTGGTCTTTCATTAGCAGTACTTTATGATCTCCCATTCTCTGCATTTGAAGCCTAAATGCAAGTGTCCTACTACCCCAAAACCATGCACTCTATGTTGTGAGCAGTGCTCCCTGTAAGCTGAGCACTTGGGCTGCTTCCCAGCAGAGTTGCAGGTGCTGCTCTGCTGAATAGCAGAGTACCACAGCTGCTCACAGTGGACAGCATGCGTTTTGTTGGTGGTACACATCTGCACATTCCTCAGAGCACATAAAAAAATGTATTCCGCCTAAGGATGGAAAACCTTAGAAGGAACCTTAGTTGTGAACTCAGTTCTGCTATTGGTTAGAGAGAAAAAAGGTACAGTATAGTAAAGATACTATCTCTGTAGTATCTCAGAATTACTACAGAGATAATCAGCAGCTAAATACCCATCTGTACAAGGGGTACAACTTAGCTTTTGGCATGTATGCAGACTAGAGATGTAAGTGACTAATTGACTAGTCACTTCCTGCCCCTTGCTGCCTCTATCAGGAAGCAGCAGCAAGGGGGGAGGGGAGAGAAGAGGGTGCTGGGGGAGCCTGCTTAAAAGCTCTGTGGGAGGGGGCAAGGGCACAGCAGCGGTGTTTCACCTTTGAAATGTACAAGAGTCCCCCGCTGACCCCAGGCTTCATGCCACATTTCATTCTTTGAAATGCACAAGAGCCCCTGCTGGGGTCCTTGTGCATTTCAAAGGCGAAATGCTGCGGGGTACTTCCGCCTTTCAATGTAGCAACAGCCCAGCAGGTTCTAGCTACATTTCAAAATGGAAGTGCCCTTATCAACTAATCAAATAGTCGATGAAAGTTTCATCGACTATTCCATGACTGATTAATCTAATTTAAACATCCCTGATGTGCACTTGCACAGAAACACTTGCTGGTTGCTACCAAAGTCGTAGGGAGCTTGGAATGCAGTGGAAGAAACATTTATAGATGGCACCTCCTCAACTTCACCCCTCTTCTGCCAAAGAAGAGGCCTTAACTTTCTCTATGCAGTGCAACATAGAGATGAATAAATCATGGCAAAGGTGCATTCCAGGAGGAGGCTAGTCCTCCTTCTCTGACTACATGATCTAGGCTAGGATGCTACGGCCTAGCATCCGAACACTCAAGGGTTTTCGCAGGATGATGGAGAAAAGAACTAGAAGAGCCATGCTACCTTGAATCCCATAGGAAAGTGAATAAGGTACAGGTCCAAGTAATCCAGTTTCAATGCAGCAAGGCTTGTCTGGCATGCCCCTTTCACAAGGGATCGCTCATGAAACGTGCACCAAAGCTGCAAGGAGAAAACCAAGCATGATGATAGTTACTCTGCAATCCCCCTGAAGCAGTGTTCTTTCTACTAGCAACAGGTCTGAGCGCATCACCCCTTCAGCTTAGGGAGCTATGCCAAAGACAGATCAGTGTGCCTGGTCCCACCATATTCACAGCTCATTATGGCCAATTTCACAGCCAGAGGATTTGAAAGCTGGTAAGTTTCATATTTTCAGCTCTTTAAACCTGAAACTTCAAAGTGTTGTAACCATGAGATCCTGACCCAAAAGGTCATGGGGGGTGAGGGGAAGGAAGAGATGTCATGAGATTGTCACCCTCACCTCTGTGCTGCCTTCATATCTGGACTCTGAAGGTACCAACTGTAGAGTTTCCTGCAGTTGCAGGAGGTAGAGGTGGGTCTGGTTTGGTTTGCTCTCTCTTTTCCACTAGGAGAGCAGTTTGCAGAGGAGGGACAGGGCCTGTCCTTCCTCTGCCCAGTCAGAGGTAGAAAACCCCTTTGAGGGGGCAAGGAGTCATCAGATTTCACAGGGAAGGGCTTATTTCATGTTCTGTGATGGCTGTGAAATTTTTAGACCTGTATAAACGTGCCTTGCTAAAATTTTAATGATAGATTAAAACAGAGTCTAAACTCAAAATACAGCATTAGCACAAAGCAATTTATATTTATAGAAAGGAATTGGCTGAATGAAACTTCCTGCCATGTGCATCTAGATGGGAAAAACTGTGAGTACAGCCGCTCCCCAAGTTACAAACAAGTTACGGACCAACACTTGGTCCGTAACTCAAAGTGTTCGTAACTCGGATCTCATAGAGTTACATGGCGACCGCGCTGTTCCTAAGCGCAGATCACCGTTCGTAACTCGGATCCGCATTTACAACCGCTTTGGTCGTAAGTGCGGATGGCCATAAGTGGAGGTGGTTGTAACTCGGAGAGCGGTTGTATTTTGGCAATTCCACATTTCCAAGGTCATGATGGCCTATTCATTTTCATAACCTAACTCCAAAGCTCACATATGAAGAGAGAACTGGTATAGGGTATTTGGAAGCCTCAGTAAATCCCAACAAACCAGGCATCATGGTCCTGAACCAAATTAGAGCTGGTTGTATCTTGTCTTTTATTTAAAAATTTTGATGAAAAACTAGGTTTTGACCACAATTTCAATTTTTTTAAATTGAAAAACTAAAAATGAAAAGAATTCCAAGTAATAAGGTCCATCTACTAGTAAGATGCTAGAGTTTTTTTTTAAATCACCCCGTATCTTTCCTCATCCTTACAAAATCCAAATCAAACTTTTATTTGTTTTGTTGAAAAACTAAGTTTTCCTCTAGAAAGTTACAATAAAAATGCTAATACATTTCCTGCTGTACCACCCCCCCTCCCCTGATTTTAGGCAGAGGAAAAAAAAAAAAAAAATCAGAGAGGGGCTGCCACAGGTTGGTTTAGCTCACATTAATTGTCTTAATTGTTCTACTTTTCTCTTCTGGCCCACTAGAGAAGCATAACACCACCCCTCTATTTAAACGTACACCTTATTCCAGGGTTTCATTTAAAAGTTCCATTGATTTAGGCTCCCTTACATATTGAGTAAGTAGATCTTTAAAAAAAACAGCTGAAGCATTTCCTCTGAATTTGATCAAGATATTACAAATTTCTTCTTTTCCTACCATGCTTTTAGGGGGAAAAGAGCCTTCAGATAACAAAGACTTGAAATTTGCAACTCAAGAAAAGTTGACAATTATGGTGGCCACACTACCCTTCTGAGCTGTTAATACGCTCCCAGCAGGCTTCCGCTTCCATTGCAAATAATGGATTAACTTTATGGTGAATCCTATTCCAGGCACAACAGAAGTACAGGAATCCCATTTCCCTTGCTATTACCCTTCTCCCTGCCTCAGTAGAAAGAGATGCATGAAACGGACAGCAAGGATGAAGACGATTATTTCTTCAGTCATTTTACCCCTGGAGCACAGGCTGTCTGTTGAACGCCATCTCTCTCCATGCAACGACTTGATTTACACCACGATCCAGTTCCCATTCAAGAGCCAGAGTTGTACCTTAGTGACAATGAAAAGATCTTCCCGTTTCACAGCCCCTTCCTTGATTTTCTGCTGGATCCCATCCCCTATTTCACTCTCATTCTTGTACAAATAGGCACAGTCAAAGTGGCGATATCCAACATCGATGGCAAACTTCACTGCATCTGCCACCTTCCCAGGAGGAGCCTGAAAACAAAATGAACACCTGTAAAACACCAACATTTCCAGACGTGATAGTGGTGTAAACAGACCAGGGATGGGGTGTGCTAATCCAATGGCATGCAAACTAGATAGGACTAGGAATGTGAAATGTTAAACTGATTAAGGATAACAGATGAGGGCTGGAACAGACCCTCCCCCTGCAATGGGCCCCCCTCCCAACACAAACAGGGGCTGCTCCAGCCCAGCAATGGCTGAATTCCCAATCCCTAGATGGCTTGGAAAACCTCAAAGAGGTCCAGCAGCATTTGGATGTACAGTATATGTTCTCCAATTGTGTAACTTTGTATAGTAAGTGTTCAGGGCCAGATAAACAATATATGATAACATTATTTGATGCAGCTACCAGATGGTATAGGTTATCTATTCTGTGGTGTTCACAGCAAGAATGGGAGACATTTATTCTTTCCATAATACCCCTATACCATAGCTCTTTATATAATCTCTAAAACATATGTTCAAGGTTCTTCACTGCACAGACTGTATTTTAGTACAGAGATTTTCTGGGGGACACCCCTCTCTTTCCCCCTCACAGTCTTTCTTCCTACTGGCAACTTCAGCAGTTGCTCAAGTAGAAAGTGAGCATTTAAAAAAGTCTGTAAATATTTTAACACGATTCAGCAGGTGGAACAAGGTCGCTGTGTGACCAGCCAGTTATAACTACAGAGCACAGCTTGAGAACCTCTGCTCTCCGTATTGATAATTTATGGAATTAAAAAGTAACAGACGGTGGGCAGAAATGACGGAATTCACAAACTCTGTTTGTATAGCAATGCTAACATTATGCATTAATGCGCTTTTGAAAATGGTCTTTCATCGCATGAACACACAACAGTGAGAAGAGCAGAATACTGGCCATCAATATAATAGGTAGAAACTGCAACTACTTCCCATATCTAGCAGCTCTGTTTCATGCTACAAAAAATGGTTCTAAAACAATGTATACACTGTTGCTGTGTCTACACTGGGCAACTTATTCTGGAAAAGCAGCCACTTTTCCGGAATAACTTGTCAGCTGTCTACACTGGCCCTTTTCCGGAACAGTTTTTCCGGAAAAGGACTTTTGACCAAACGGGAGCAGCATAGTTTTTCCAGAAAAACACTGACAATTTTACAGGAGATCGTCATTGCTTTTCCGGAAAAGCAATGACGATCTCCTGTAAAATTGTCAGTGTTTTTCTGGAAAAACTATGCTGCTCCCGTTTGGTCAAAAGTCCTTTTCCGGAAAAACTGTTCCGGAAAAGGGCCAGTGTAGACAGCATAGTAGTCTTTCCGCAAAAAAGCCCCGATTGCAAAAATGACGATCAGGGCTTTTTTCCAGAAAAGCACGTCTACATTGGCCACAGACGCTTTTCCGGAAAAAGTGCTTTTTCCGGAAATACTTATAACGGAAAACTGTTCCGTTGTAAGCATTTCCAGAAAGGGGTGCCAGTGTAGACGTAGCCTGTGTGATCCTGTAATCTTTTCTTATTCTCTGGGTGATTACATTGCCAACATTATTTTAATAGATTTCTATACACAAACACACTCTTCTGATAAGATTCATTCTTGTAACTGCCTTTCCAATTTGTCACCATGCAAGCAAGTGACAGCATAAGCCCTAGACTGAAGAAAAGCAAGGGAATTAAAAATTTTCCTCCGGGATAGATTGGCAGAGGCCCTGGAGGTTTTTCGCTTTCCTCTGTAGCATGGGGTACAGATCACAGCTAGAGGATTCTCTGCATCTTGGGGTCTTCAAAGTATTTGAAGGCTTCAATATCTGAGATATAGGTGAGAGGATTATTCTGGGAGAGGTGGGTGAGATTCTGTGGCCTGCACTGTGCAGGGGGTCAGACTAGATGATCATAATGGTCCCTTCCTACCTTAAAGTCTATGAGTCTAAAAAGGAAGAACCATTCCATTTACACAAAGAAGGGGATTCTTTTCACAGTTACACCAGTGTAAATTCAGAGCCTGTTCAATAGATCCAATGTCCTCTCCCCACACTTTCTCACATTTATTCTTGGTTCTGGACTTTCAACACTCCGGTCACCTGAAGAAGTGGGCTGCGTCCATGAAAACTCACGATACCATCTACAACATGTTTTGTTAGTCTTTAAAGTGCGACCTATTTGTTGCTTTTTAAGTTTTTCCTGTTACAGACTAACTTGGCTACCCCTCTGAATATATCCATGTCAGCAGAGCTACTGTGGATTTAAATTGGTGATGCTGAAATAAGAAGCTAGACTACGTTTTGCATCAGAGAATGCAAAGTGCAAGAAATATATATATATATATATATTATAAATAAAGCCAGAAGGTACCATTATAATTAACTTTGTCTGCATTTAATTATAATAGATCACTCAAAGTGCTTGTTACAGAGTTTCTTGTAACTCTTAAACCAACATGTTATGCTCACAAGCAGCTGCAGAGTACAGGCACCTCTGGCACAAAGCTCAGTACTTACAAATGCCGCGCATTAGCCGTTTGCGGACGTGGTTAGGAAAGCAGCTAGCCCTCGGCAAGGCGCCTAAGGAGAAGGGCCAGCCATTCAGCGCGATGACAGCTGGACACCGGGACTTCAGGGACAGTCGGAGCTTGCTACCAACATAAACCAAAATCGCTTCCCAGGAGCTAAGCGACCGGCGCGTGCAGCCTCGAGCATTTTGCTGGAAAAGAAACTCCTGCCCTTCTGCACAAACACGCACAGCTGGACGCTGGGGCTGCACTGGGAACGGGAGAAACGAAGGCCAAACGGCCTAGGGTTTCCCGAGCAGCTCCCATACGCCGGGCGAGCCGTGTCAGCGCCTGGAGCCCGTCCCACCCTGTGCAATTACCTGCCAGGTGCCTAGCCCCAGTATGGGCATCTTGGCCTTAGTGCTCAGTTGCACGTAGGTCGCCATAATCCCGGCCCTCAGCATACGAGCCTCTGCAGAGAGCTCGCCCCAGCTGAGCTTCCTTAAGAGGCCTGGCCACGCCTCCGCCGCTGGGCTTGCTCCGCTATTGGGAGCCAGCGGAGGAGCAGACACGGCGGGGGGGGGGGGCCGCTGTCTGGGCCGCCG